CCACCCCAGGGCTAGATCAGAAAAAGGACAGCATGGGGCCACTGTGGGCTAGCGCTCCACCCTAAGAGGTCAAACGGTAAGGCCAAGTTCAGCAGCCATGCTGCTACCTGAAACCGAGGGCTGCAGTGGGGTAAACCGAGGCCTGGAGAGAGCCAGAGTGTGTATCTCATGCCCATACTTTCCAGGTCGGGGATACTGGGCCACGTAGTCCTGATGAAGAACCCAAGGTCCAGAGAGGTGGGTGTGGCTTGGCGCTGAGCAGGCTGGAGCCCCTCTTGGACCTGGGCATTTGCCCACCCAGATGCTTTCCCAGGACCATGCTGTCTGTTCCAGCCTAGAATGTCATGCTGTTGGACTCCAGGGGGCTGTGAAGTGTCAGGGAGGGTCATGTCCTCCTCCCGGTCCCCACGTTCACCAGGACCGCTGCCTTTTGGGCCATTACGTGGTTTGGGCTTTGCATGACTTTGTTTGGTCACCACTGCTCCGAGGCAGTCTGCCATGTCTGCCCAGGAGGGGTCCGGGGTTTGTTTTCCTTTCTGTGTTGAGGCTCAGTGAACCTTTGGTTGGGGCTGCAGAGGGCGGCTGGTGGGCCCAGGGTGGTGACTGCCGGAGAGGCATCTGGACCCTGCAGTTCCCTCAGCCCTGACATACTGCTCGGTCAGGGTCGGGGACCATCGCTGAGCCTGATCCTGGGGGACATAAGCAAGTTTGCCGTCTCCCGAGCTTGTCCTCACTGAGGGTGTCTTTGTTCTCCCACCGGCCTGACTGCAGGGCCTGGCCCAGCTCTGTGTGACCATTGAGGAATGTTGGGACCATGATGCCGAGGCCCGCCTGTCCGCTGGCTGCGTGGAGGAACGGGTGTCCCTGATCCGGAGGTCAGTCAACGGCACTACCTCGGACTGTCTTGTCTCCCTGGTGACCTCCGTCACCAACGTGGACCTGCCCCCTAAAGAGTCGAGCATCTAAGCCCGAGACACCGCGTCCCTCCAGACTCAGTGGAGCTGAAGAGGAAAGGAGGAAAGAAAAAAGTTGTGTTTTGTTTTGGAGATCCCATAAAACCAACAAACACATAAGATGCAGCTGCTATTTTACCTTGACTTTTTATTGTTATTATAATTATTATAATTATTATTATTAATATTATTTTTGGGATTGGATCAGTTTTTACCAGCACACTGCTCTACTGTATTGCAAACAGCGGACATGTCAGCAGGCGTTGAGGTGCTGAGCTGTGAATACAGAACCAGCGCCATGCTGAAGAACCTCAGTCACCTCCTGTCCTTTGGGGTTCATTTTTCCCACACCCTCTTTGTTTGTCGTCTCAGAACCTGTGACTCAAAGAAACCCATCTCCTGTCTTAGGAAACTTAATGCTGCAAACCCTACCTGGAGGAATCTCTGGAGACTGTTATATAAGAACACATCTTCCTCGGAAGAGGTGCTTCCTCTCCCCCTGCCCTCGTCCCCTCCGCTCCCCGCCCCCTGCCTTTCCTTTGGTTTTCTCCCTTTTTAGACCGTGAGCTGAAGAAACAGCAGATGTGTCTTTCGTGGGTCTGACGGGTGTTATCCCGACCGAGGAAAGACTGGGATGAGGAGGATGATGGTTTGGACTGGAGCCGGCGGGGCAGACGGTGCTGGGGGTGGGGTTTGGAGCGGAGCTACACTGGAGTCAGCATGTTTGGAGCAGCATCCTTGGCTGTGGAGGCTACTTCTCAGGTAACCCAGAACTGAGGGCAAGGGGCTTGTAGAGGCCAAGCATTGACGGCCAGAGCGGGGTTTGGAGAAAGTCTGAGAGCTGGTGTGGTTTGGACCCACCTGCTGGCCCTGGCCAGATTTTTCCCACTAACTTGGGCTTGGGTATAGAAAAAACATTTTTTTTTCTGCCCTGATTTTAAGGTTAGGTGAGGGTAGAAATCACCACAATTTAACGAGTGTGTTCTTTACAAGACTTGATGCTGTAAATGTCTTAAGGGGAGCAAAGCTGAAGTAGTTTGCTTCTTCCCGGAGCGGTTCAGGGAAACGCCCACAACGAGGCGCCCTGCACAGCCGGGGCAAGAGGACTTCCCAGGCGGGGCCCTCCAAGGCCTGCTTCTCTGGAGACCCGGAGAGTCCCGCAGTGCTGGCCCTGCCCCTCACGGTGACACTGTTGTCCCCTTGATGTGGCTCATGGGCATGGCTTTCTCCAGACCCGTTAAAGTGGTGCATATTCTGAAAACCGTTTTTCTATTATGCCATAACCTTCTCTAGTCGGTGAATGTTCCTAATGCTGCTGTTTCAACATTTGAATTTTTTTTTTAATTTATGAAACATGCGAATTTTTTTAAAAGAACAGTACACACACGTGCACACACACACATCCACATGTACACACACGCTTTGCTATGTGGCTTCCGAGGTTTAAATTTTGAAAAGTAAAAGAATTAAAACTTCACGACCACAGACCACCTCAAACCAGAAATACCTCAGAATTTTCTACTTGTGTAAGTTTTATTATATATTTTGTTAGTTGTGTTGTCTTGTAGTAAGTATATTTTAATGTAAGTTGGTTTTTATGACAGGACAGTTTAAAAGAAATAGAAAAAAAGAAAAAAAAAACTTGTAAGTGTCTTCTAGGGAGTGCTATCACTTTTGTTTGATAACGCCCTCTTGTAAATAATTGTCATCCACTGTAGGTTGGCCGTCTGGGCTGAGTCAGGGCATTTGTCACTCTTGTTTGTGAAGGATTTTCATTCTGGTTTCTTTAGACCATTTTATTTTAAAACAGTGCATCTGTTGATCTTGAGGGTTGGCGAGTTGGTGGGTAAGGGGAGAGGTCAACTTGGCTAAAGAGGGCCACCTCCCCTTGGGTTATTTGGAGGTTCGGGTGTTTCCCGCAACTTGGTCAGTGTGCAGCAGGACAGGTAACCTCACTGTAACCTGGTAAAACAGTGGCCCTTAAACCCGTGTGAGGTAATTTTACCTGAGATTTCATTTCTTAAGCAGACTAGCAGCAACGTTTGCCAGAGAGAACTTGGGGTGGAATCCACACTGTGACTCAGGGGCCGTCTATACTAAAGCTGCGTATCCGGGAGTGGCGTGTTCTATGCTCCGCCAGTCTTGGAGTTCTTCTGTTCTCAATCTGAGAGGGCACTGCGCACCTCATTGAGCTGTCTGCTCCCTTCTCAGCACACCACCTGTGCGGCCGGGACCCGCCACCTGGTGTGGACACAGGACCTGTGGGAGGTGCCTCTGCTCCCTTTCAGAGCTCAGTTTCTGCTTCATGGGTAAAACAAGGGTTGGCCGAGGTGGTTACAGGGCCAGGTTTTCTGTTTGTGTTTTTGGCAAGCTGCGTTGTCTTCTTTTCTTTTAGCTGTTTGATTTTGTGCTGTGGTATTTTTCTTCCCTCGGAATAATTTTAATGGCAAAACAGGCTTTACAGCAGTTGCTTTTCTTTTCCACGTATTTCTTTAAGAAGCTTTAAGATATTTATTGAAAAGTGCCATATCTAATTTCTTTAGCTTTCACCTCAGGCAGTGCCAGACTTCTCGGCTTTTCCCCCTCAGAAGAAACAGATGAACCACTAACAAATGTAGCTAATCGACTGCCGGAAAGGTCAGGTCAGTGCTCCTTCCTAGTGCCGAAGGCTAAACGCCGGTTCAGTTACAGATTTCCTCTGGGTGATTTTTCCTTTTGTGTCCTGACTTGATTCTTGTGAGAAGGAGCTTTGGCCTGGCTGTGGGCAGGTTGAGCTGTGGCCCCATGTGGGCCCTGCTGGTCAGGACGCGGCGCAGACGGGGCGGCCCTTCCTGTTGGCCCGCGTGCCTCTTTTCCAGGTGGCCTCGCTCTTGGCCCACCTGTGCCCAACTGCTGTAGCACCTCTTTAGGGCCTTGGCTCCAGAATGAGGTGTCACAAGATGGTGGCTGTTGGAGGTAGCTGGGGAGTGAGCAGAGTCCAGGGGGCCTGCACCTGTTCTTTGGGCTCCAAGCTGCCTTTTCCCTCATGCTCTGGTGCACAGTGTACCCATCGGGCAGTGCAGCTGCTGCTGATGGCTAGAAGGCGGGTGATCTCCTTCCAGGGCATGGCTCTGGGGACACAGGTGGGCCTTTCCTCCCAGATAAAGTGTCTGTTTGTCTCCATAAACTCTTTGGGGCATGAGCCATGTAGAGCCCTGGTCTGTATTTATGGGATTCCAGGGCCTGCCTGTGCTCCTGCCCACAGAGATCTCATGCGACACCCACTTCCAGGAAGCTCAGATAATTCCTGCCTTTTTTTTTTATCGTTTTGCCCCAGGCCTTGTGGAAGACTGGCAAGAGTGGGGCCTGGCATCATTTCCCCACGGGAGGGGTCGTCCATCCAGGGCGGGAGGGAGCTCAGTGAGGGAGAGAGTGGCCATGGCTCCTGGCTGTGGGGGTGCGACCTGGGGGAGAGGGAGGCTGGGAAGCTCTCGTTTCTTTGTTCTGTTTGAAAACACCCGTTGTCACTGTAGGAGGCCATCCCTAGTGGGGAAAATGTAGGAACCAGAAGGAAAAGGAGGAAGCAGATGGGACAAAGGCCACTGTGTCAGAGTGTCCGAGGGCTCTCAGTGACAGGAGGCCAGGGAGGGCCGCGAGCATGGTCATCAGAGCGTCGTGGGCTGGTGTGAGCTGGGTCGTCTGCTGGGACCTTTCGTCTCACGCGGGAGTCCTCCTTGGAGTGAGTACTCGGGGGATGAGGGGTACAGGTGGGTCTGCCTGGAGAAAGGAAGAGCTGGCTGGGAGGGAGAGAGGCGAACATCGTCAGCCCTTTACCATCCAGCATGGTCCTCCTGTCCTGTTGGCTCTGGGTGGGTGCCCAGAGACAACCAGTCCTGTCTGGGGAGGGCTTTGCCATGTGAGCCAGCTGCTTCTGACTGAATATTTTGCCGGATTTGGGGGCAATTTTGCAGGACAGGGACATTGTCCAGCCTTGGACATCTACAGGAGGCTAGAGCTTCCCGCTCACACAATACCAGCAAAGGGAAGGGCTTCTCATCTTCAGGCCAAATCAAGACAGTTCTTCCATTGCCCCAGCGTGCCCTCTTGACATTGCTCAGCGCTTTAGAAAGTACCGTGAAGCATGCGACCCGTGGTTCTGCTCTGTCGCCTCTTCTCTTCAGCTGGCCATTTTCTTGCTCCCTGTTGCCCTCCCACTCTGCGCCAGGTGCTCGGGCTGTGTGTGGGGATTTTCCTTGGTGGCGAGCCCAGCTGCGCATTGAACGTCCACCACAGGCTGTGTGTGGGGATTTTCCTTGGTGGCGAGCCCAGCTGCGCATTGAACGTCCACCACAGGCTATGTGGGGGGATTTTCCTTGGTGGCGAGCCCAGCTGTGCATTGAACATCCTCCACGGGCTGTGTGTGGCTCAGAAGGTCCGTCATGTGGCCCCCTGCTCTGAGCCACGAGGACAGGCAAGCGGCTGCTCCATCCAGAGTGGGGGTACTGGATGGCCTTCTTGCAAACGGGATTTTGTCTCTTTAAATTTGCAGTGTGAGGTTCCCAGCACCTACTGGTTTCACAAGGATTTGATGGTTTTAAATTACATGGTGAGCATATGTGTGCATGTTTTTAGAGTTGGTGCTCGAAGCTGAACAGCCAGACTTTATCCCTGAGAAATATCTAAATTGGAAAGAAGGTTTCCATGACTTGACTTAGTTTGGTCTTGAGTCTCTGTTACTTCATCCTGTTGGGCAGGTTTTTCTTGATGGTCCGCCTTTGGAGAGATGGCCCGGTTCGCGTTGCAGGGGTACCAGACCACACCTTTCCAAGAAACACGGTGACTCTCCTTCCCTTCCCCACCATACGTGATGAGCAGCCAAGAAGGGAAGAGATGCCAGTGGTTTTTTCTTCTTCTCGTTTGTGTGATGTGACTTCTCCTTGGTCAGAGGCTGTTCGCAAAATCTGAGCTAGTAAAACAGCAGCTAATGTGTTCAAGCGAGGGATGACGAGTTTAAGCTTCGATCAGTGTGAATGTTTCAGGTAAAGAAATGGGTCCAGTAATTCAGTTGATGAACTGTATATACTTCTCAGTCTAGATTTGAAAATGTTTAAATGAATTCAGGGTTATAAGCATAGTTCTTTATGTGAGATTCTTAGTAGTTGATTTGTAACCAGCAATCTACCTATGAATGTATCCCAGACCTTTAGGAGGCTTGGAAACTTTTTTTTGAGATGATGATTTGGTTTTGTAGGTGAAAGAAATTGGAGTTTGAAATGCCCCTTTTGAAGTTAAATTCAGTTGACTCCATCACATTTTTTAAGAGATGAGTGTATTCAGGAGACCCATAAACTATCAACAAATAAAAGCCCAAATTATCCAGTGAGATATTTTTAATGTTCTTATTTTGTACTTGTTTT